CCCAGGCCACCCGCTCGCCATTCGAGAGTCTAACTCATTCGCAGCCCAGAGACGGGCCTGGTAGCTGAGCCATAAGCTCGTGACACTCCCTGTCGTGGTGGTGGCTCAAGAGAGAAAGTGGGCCCTACCCGGTTTGGCTCAGTGGATAGAGCGTCGGCCTGCAGACTCAAGGGTCCCGGGTTTGATTCCGGCCAAGGGCATGTACCTTGCTTGCGGGCACATACCCAGTGGGGAGTGTGCAGGAGGCAGCTGATCGATGTTTCTCTCTCATCTATATTTCTAACTCTCTATCCCTCTCCCTTCCTCTCTGTAAAAATCAATAAAATATATTAAAAAAAAAAAAAAAGAGAGAAAGTGGCCTGAGTTGGGCTCATGGGAGGGAGGCTGGGGACTGTAGTGACTTTGGGGAAAGGGAAGCCCCCACCCCCCCCCATCCCTGTATGTGAAGGAGGAGCTTTCTCACTGCCCTTCCCTCCGCCCCCAGGGAAGCCTGGCCAGGAGTGGAGTCGGCATGTGGGGGCAATGCTCAGGGACCACAGAGGGGAGACTCAGCCCCGTGACGTCAGCCACGCTGGTCAAACGTGCCCTGAAGTCCACACACAGCGACACTCCCAGTGTTCGGGAACCGTGCTTCCTCATTGCTCAGACCAGTGTGGGTGGGGTTTCCCTTGTGACAAGCCATGCCCCCCAGCTGATCCCCAAGGACGGTTCAGTCACATGAACTAATACAAACCCCTGTTTACTCAACTGGGGAGCCGATCACTCCCAAGCAAAGGAATCCTGGCTGGTTCTGCCTTTCGCACCCCGTGCTCTGCGGTCCGGAGCCCCTCACTGGGGTCCTCGCACCCTTGGGACCACCCAGCACCCCCCATGGCTCGCCCACCTCAGGTCTCGCCAGCTTCCACCTCCACAGCCTCTAAGACAGGGGCTGGTCCTAACTGGTGTGGCTCAGTGGATAGAGCGTCGGCCTGCGGACTCAAGGGTCCCGGGTTCGATTCTGGTCAAGGGCATGTACCTTGGTTTCGGGCACAACCCTAGTAGGAGGTGTACAGGAGGCAGCTGATCAATGTTTCTCTCTCATCGATGTTTCTAACTCTCTATTTCCCTCCCTTCCTCTCTGTAAAAAATCAATAAAATATATTAAAAAAAAAAAAAGACAGGGGCTGGCAAACTTCCTCTGTAAAGGGCCAGACAGTAAATATTTCAGGCTTTGTGGGCCGTTCCACCTCTGTCCCTGTAGCGGGAAAGCAGCCGTAGACTACATATAAATGATGCGCGTGGCTGTGTCCCAATAAAACTTTATTTATGGACACTATACATTTGAATTTCACATAATTTTCACATTTCACAAAATATTCTTCTTCTTTTGATTTATTTCCAAGAATTTAAAAGCGTAAAAACCATTCTTAGCTTGAGGCTGATTAAAATGATAGTGGGCCCGATCCGGTCCACGCGGCAGAGTTGGTCTACCCTTTGGACTCCGGGCTCACCCCCCTTCCCTCTGCCGCCCCCCCCCCACCCCCCCCCGCCGGCAAACCTGGGCTGAGCTGCTCAAGTCCCAGCATGCCTCGGGCCTCTTGTGTCTGAGGGTCAAAGCCACTTACCAGAAGGACCACCCGTAGTCCCAGGAATGGGGCCTCCAGTCCTCAGGGCCGAGGCTCACGGTGACCTGGAACACCTGCGTGTACATCATGTGGGCGACCATTCCTAGGAGGCCTGTGGGGGAGCAGAGAAGGAGTCAGGAAGAAAGGTGGGGCTCTGTGCACCCCACGGGCCCGTCGGTGCATGGTTTCCTGCGGCTCATGGTCAAGTCTGTGAGCCCGCGGCCTGGGAGAGCTTGGGTTCGAGGGTCTGAGCGAGAGCCCCTCCCGCACATCTCCCCGCGCAGCCCTGGGCAGGGCACCTCACCCTCTGAGCCTCAGCGCTTTCCGCTCCGGGATGACACTGTGACAGCCGAGCGGAGGGGGGTAAACCGAGGAGCCTCCATACCTGGTACCCACTGGACATGCTCATATGGCTGCCAGGTTAGGATAAACCCGGGGCGCGTCCCCATGTGGATGTGGCAACGGGAGCCCTGGCGGTGCCAAGGTGCACAGCTGACTGGCACGAACCTGACTTGCAGAGGGAGCAACAGGGTACTGAGGAGGGAAGGGGTCGCTGGCAAGAGGAAGAAGGGAGCCAGGGATGCGTATGCACTTACTGAGACCAAGCACCTGTCAGACCCTCACTTCCGTTTTTGCCTCTTTTAAACTTCATAACAACACTTGGAAGTGCCTGGCCCTGATCATGGAACTTCCTTCAGGGGCTCCGGCACCTGTGTCTCCGTCCAGCCGCCTGGCCCAGGCCTGATGGGCACAGAGGACTCAGAGGCGACACAGAGGGGGTGCCTGTGCTCCGGGCTGGTGTCAGCCTCGCGTGGACACTTCCCCTGCTCTCTGACCTCAGGTGAGGGCTGCCCTCCAGGGCTGCTGGGAGCACTGAGGCAGGACATCAGGGGGAGGTGACACACAGGTGCCGAGTCCCGTCAGGAGCCCCAGAGGCTCGACGCCCTCCAGGCTCTCTGTGCCAGGCCTGAGGACACCGAGACCCCATCCTGAGCCGGCCCCCACCCCCTCGGCCTTGGCTCGGTGGGAAGGGGGACGAGGGGGCGAGCCTGCGGATAGCTTTGTTTATTTCCTTGACACCGTTTTTTGGTGAACTTGCATGGGACGCCTTGATAATGAGGTGCCATGTTTAATGTGTCCCATCAACTGATGGCACTGAAGTTGCCTCCAGGATTTTGCTCTGTAAGCAATGCCGCAATGAGCTCCTCCTACAGGGCTCATGCACAGCCTCGCGGGCCAGTGCTTGAGATGCTGAAACGCTGACAATCTCGCCCATCCACGGTGAAACACGCAACCCCGACATTGCTCTACATCTCATATTTCTCTCATTGTTAGTGAGCCTGGGCATCTTCACATGTTTGTTAACATTTCTGTTTCTTCTTCTATGGATATGCCTGCCTGTATCCTTTGTCAGCTTTCTTTTTAAAAATTCTTTTTCATGATCACGTGGTAGGAATGTTTATAGGTCTTGGGTACTAATCCCGTCTGTTGCGTGAACTACACATAGTTTCCTGCTTGCCTTTTCCCAGAGGCCTCTTTTGTTATGAATAGACTCTATTTTTAGAGCAGCTTTAGGTTTGCAGAGAAACTGAGCAGATAGTAGAGAGTTCCCATATGCCCCCTCTCTCCGCCCCAGTTAGTGGGGTTCATGTGTTACAATTCATGAACCAGTATTGAGGCATTTTTTAAAATACATTTTTATTGATTTCAGAGAGGAAGGGAGAGGAAGAGAGAGATAGAAACATCAATGAGGAGAGGGAATCATTGATTGGCTGCCTCCTGCACATTGGACTGAGCCCACAACCCAGGCATATGCCCTTGACCAGAATCGAACCTGGGACCCTTGAGTCCACAGACTGACATTCTATCCACTGAGCCAAACCGGTTAGGGCACGCCTTTCATCTTTCCCTTTTTGGGTTGCACTTCCTGTGTCTGACTTAAGAAAACCAACACCATACACAGAGTCTCCTATATTTTTCGAAGGTACTTACTGCTGTTTGTTTAATTCCTCGGGAATTTATCTTAGTGACTATGAGGTAAGGATCTAGTTTAACTTTCTTAAATGAATCACTAATTGCTTTGAGCCCTTACACTGATTTTATTTTATAAATATATTTTATTGATTTCAGAGATGACGGGAGGGAGAGAGATAGAAACATCAATGATGAGAGAGAATCATCGATTGGCTGCCTCCTGCACGCCCCACGCAGAGGATGGAGCCCGCACCCCGGACATGTGCCCTGACCAGGAATCAGACCGTGACCTCCAGGTTCACAGGTCAGCACTCAACCACTGAGCCCCGTCAGCCGGGCTCTCCACTGATTTTAAACGACACTTTCACACCATATTCCACTCCCACCTGTACACCAGCCTGTTTCCTCTCTCGGCATCCTGTTCCCATGTCAGCACCGCACTGTTTTAATCATGTAACTTACGGTCCAGCTGTCGCTGCCCAGGGCTCACTGCCTCTGCAGCTGCCCCTCCCTAGGGCTTTGCCCCTCTGCAGGACCCTGACCCCTTCCTTAGCCCCCACCAGTCCTTCCCGAGGCCTGGACCTTGCTCTCCAAACCGCAGTTGTTGCAGCTTCTTCGGTTTCTTCCTCACTGTGCCCGGCCAGGTGCTCTTTGAGTTATTTGATCTCTCAGTGCCTCTGTCTTCTCATCTATAGAATGGGGACAGGAGCAGACACTGGCCGTCCAATGAGCATCCGCTAAGGAACTAGAACAGTCACGGGAACACCCCCTCCTGATGTCAGGACAGGGGGACAGCACAGCATTTTACTGCAAGATCTCTCAGCGGGACCCAGGAGCTGGACCGGCCTGCTGGCAGACTAATTAATTTCCTGAATGGTTGGTATAGAAAAGCATTGATTCTCAATTGAATCCATTTATTCCCAAATCTGAAAGGCCATGCTTTAAGAAAATCCAATCAATGAAATTGCAATTGGTGAGAGTCTCAAATTGCATTTTAAAGACTCTGCTTGGGAAGTCTGCCTCCTGCCCATGTTCTCTGGACACTCACACACCGACAGCCACGAGTGCCACCGACCCTCAGCGGAAAGGACAGTTTTCAACTCCTCTGGGTTAAACAATGGCATGTTGATGAGTGACAGCGATGGAGCCTCTTCACTGAGGGTCCCTGAATGAGTGAGGCTCTCCTGCCGGGAAGCTTCCTGGGGGTCCCCCACCAGGGGTCACAGTGTAAACCCCTCCTCCCTGGGCTTCGGGACTCTCCCCACTCCTGACACCAGAAATGGAGCTCCCAGCCTGTAGGTGGGGGGACCCTGGGGAGCACGTGGAGGGGGAATGTTGGCCAGGGCTCAGACCTGGGCTGCACCCAGTGCCACCCAGAACCCAGATCCGGGAGTGCCTGCCCGCACTGGCTGCCCCGAGGAGGAGAGGCTGGGGTGGGGCCAGAAGTAAGAGACTGTCAGGAGGGTCAGGGGTGAGGTGAAGCCAAGGGAGAGAGAGGGTCTAGTTCCCACTCTGTATGACCTCCCTTTTCTGTGCCTCAGTTTTCTCAGCTCTAATATGGGGTTCATAACAGCACCTACCTCGTAGATTGGTAGGAGGCTTATACTTGAAAAGCACTTAGAACAGTGCTTGACATCATAAACCCCACAGAAGTGTTTCTTGAATGAATGAATGAATGCATGCATGCCCGAGGCTCACTGTGTAGACCTGCTAGACTAGGTCTGGTTTGCTCGCCACGGAACCCCCAGCACCTGGCCAGGACCTGGCTCACCGAGCGCTCACCTGTGTGTGTTGAATGAATAGATGGCTGCTGGGTGCAGCAGGCCGGTGTTAAAGGTCTAGTCTGGAATAGGGGGCTGAGTTAGGACGGGGCCAAATTCGAAAGCTTTAGAGAGCAAATGTCAGTCATCATTCCTGTATTTACTTGTCATTCCCACCCCAGATACTATTCCGGGGGTGGGGGCGGGGGCAACACTGGGAGAGACAGCGTGTCCTGCTGTCACGGCCTCCGGTGCTCGTGGAGAGGCCGACGGGGAGCCATGAGCTCACAAGAACAGTCCAGGAAGTGGGAAGGGCTGTGGTCCAGAGAAGACGGGCCAAGTACCAGCCAGCTCCAGGGCCGCTGGGATGGGAGGCCAGGGAGGGCCTTCTGAGGAGGGGACACTGAGCAGAGGCTGGGTGGGTGCTGGAGGCAGCGCAGGAGTATGGGGAGGGGGCAGGACACAGCCTACTGTCCGGCGAAGGGAGAGAAGGCACCACAAAGCGAGAAAGGGGAGGTGGACACGGCAGGGCCGGGCGCCCAGGACGCCCTGGACCACAGCGAGGAGTCTGGCTGCAACTGTAAGCGGATGGGGAACCAGGCAGGTATAAGCAGATGGGGAACCAGGCGGGTATAAGCAGATGGGGAACCAGGCGGGTATAAGCGGATGGGGAGCCAGGCGGGTATAGTGGATGGGGAGCCAGGCAGGTATAAGCGGATGGGGAACCAGGCGGGTATAAGTGGATGGGGAGCCAGGCGGGTATAGGGCGGGGCCAATTTCAGATCGTGCTGGTTACTCTGTGAAGAGGGAGGATGGGGGCGGGGCCAGGAGGTGGCTCCTGGA